TACGTGTGTGGGATAGGTGCCGCATGGCGAGGCGATGATTAATTATCCCGAGGGAGTGGCGATCATCTGCGCAGATGTATCTACGTTTGGGGAACACGTGGACACCAAGTCATGTAAGAGTGGCTGCAGCCGTTGTTCCAGTCTAGTTGCGAGCATGTGTGACTAGCTCTTGCCTTGTTAATAGTCTTATCATCATCAGGTGCATATCCGATGGAGCTGGCTACCTGGCTCACATGTGTTCATCGTTCTGTCATCTGTAGGCGGCGCAGTATGTTTTTCACCTCACCCTAACCTTAATTAACCCCTATCTAACTCACCAGACTGTAATATAACTTTCGCCTGCTCTTCTCTTGGTCTTTTACTTATCATGCCGTGTCACGGTACTTCTCCACCTCATTATATGACCAAAGAAGCGAGGGGTCTCTGCTTCATCTATAATCTTTACTGCAATACGTCGTCTGAACATTGGAAACCCATTGTGCACATTTTTATTTTGTTGGTTTCAGATTTTTTTTGTTAGTGTGCTCGGTAGTCTGGATAAAAAAAAAATGATTGTTTGTCAGATAAAGCCAAAATACATGTACTGTTATACATGATTATTAAGATGAAACAAACTCAATTTAAGTTATTTTTCTTTTTTATAAACTATTGGTTTTATGTTTTTTTTATTCATATTTCTTTAGAGAAAGTCGCGGAATAAAATACAGATTTCATTTTATTTTTTTTGTTGTTCTTACTTCGTGGTCGGGGATCGTACAACAAATAACAATCAATCGCTTTATGAAGTCTCATTGTACAGCGTGTTTATACTGTAGATGTGTTTTACTGTTAATGTCACAAGGGAAAACCAAATCTTTTTTCTGACAGTGTCCGTTCCATGGAAGTGACTGTAACTTGTTTGACCTTTACTCGGATCACTTGCATTATGTTGCAAAAATTTGGATCCAATAGTGGAGCACGTTTGTGTATGATTCATGTATTAATGCCAGGCTGGGTGGTTGAACACTTACTCGATTAGCTGTGAATATGAGATGGCGATTAATCTAGCGAGGCCGTGAGGGTGGACACGCTAAAA